CCGCCGGCGGCGCAACGGTGCGAGACGCGAGTGCGGTCGTCCGCCTCGTTCACCTCGTTGCCCCGCCGTCGCGTAGCGACACCGCGGATGCCAGCGGATGCACCATGTATCGTGATTGATAGCGATCCACCACGATCCACCGCCTCGCTGCCACTCGTCGTTGTCGCGATGTGTTCGTTCCACGCGCGCCCATGCGATCGCTTTTTCACGTGAAACGTCCCACGTCCGCCCCCGAGCACCGCTGTCCTACGACCCGACACAATTGTCTGCCGCTGTCGCAGCCACCGCCGCCGCTGCCGCCGCCGCCGCTGCCGGGCTGACAACGACGACGATGGGCCAATCGTCAAGCAACACTGGGCACAGCGGTGAGTCTTGAGTCCTCGAATCATAACACTTTCTCTCTCGCAATATGATCGCGTACTGCTCGCCGGCCAAACGCCTCTTCGTGCACACGCGCGCCCGCTTGTCATGTGTCATCGCGAGAGCGATCAAGAGCGATCAACCACCGATGATCTGCAACCGATGTTGCGATGATGATGGAATACCTGGGTACTCTTCATCGAGTGGAATTTTTCTTAAGAAGGTTACGTTCAGATCTATTAGAACATACGTAGTGTTGGTCTGGAGAACAGTGTTCTCTTAGGGTTCTTTTCCGCCAGCGTGAAATAAATCCCTGATTTTTTTCTCAGTAATTGGAACAAGTTTCAATTTGATATTATGACGTTATAGAGATAACAATAACTCGAATGTATAGATCATCAGTAGGAATCGCGAATAAAGTTATATATTGCCTCGCTGCGTTTAAAAAATTTTTTTCAATGACAAACGCTCGTCATGCGTCGTGTTGTCTTTTCATGGCTGCACGTGACGAATTTAAATCCTTGAAGAATGTCATTATCAGTTGACAGTATCACTAATTGCCCGATTGCGAAACACTCGAAGACACGCTGCGTCTATTAAAATTAGAAAATATTTCAAAATTAAACACGAATTTAATTTATTAAATCGCAGCAAAATAAAAAATTTATTTAGAAATAATTTTTTTAAATCCAAAAAAATGTTTTTTTTGGAACGATGAAAATGATAATTTAAGAGTAAATTAATGGCACTTAAAAAAAGATAACTGAATTTTTAATGAAAAATGTAAACGAATACTTGATAGTGTGATAACATATCTATGGTCTTGAATGAATTTTTTTCCAATTAATTATTTTTACTTTTACTTTTTTTAAACGTTTAGCTTATTGACGCAAAATGTCAGATTTCTTGGAATATATGATTAAAAAAAAATATATGTATATATATAT